TGGGTGGTGAGAGGGAGGGGGGCTGGGAACCTTTCTGGGTTTGGGCTCAGACTCCCCCTTGGGGAGATAGGGAGTCAGGGCCGCTGGCTGGGGATGCCTGGCCTGCGCTTGGCTCGGCCACCCTGTGCACCCCTCGCCGCAGAGAGGGCAGGCAGGCTGGTCTAGAATCGGGTAAGGGCCCGGACTCTTGGGTTCCCTGGCTGTGCCTGCCTGCCTCCCCATGTAACCCTGGGCACGCAGGGTCCGCAGGATGCTTTGAGACCCTCGGCCGGATGGGGCTGCAGCTCCCGTTGCCCCGACCTCCCGCTCAGCCTTGCCCCGGGGGTTCCCAGCGGGTGCAGTGCAGCAGGGGGAGGCTGGGGCTGCTGCCTGGCTGCCCTGGGGGTGCCAGTGCTGGGGCTGTCCCCGCCCGCTCCCCGGCCTAACCCTGGCTCCCCTTCCCCGCTGCCTCGCAGCCGCTCTTCACCATGAGCGCCCAGCAGCAGTCCATCCAGCCCTTCACGCCCCAGGACTACGAGGCGCTCACCAACAAGTTTGAAAGGCAGCCGGTAAGGGGCCCACCCCCCAGGTGTGGGGGGGAGGGCCGGGCAGAGCCACAGTGTGGGGGTGAGGGGTGCAGGAGGAGGGGCAGATCCTGGCTCCCAGGGGGTGTGCTGGGGGCAGGTTGGAAGGGGGGGATGAGCGTGGGGGGCTGTGGAAGGGCTGGTGGTGCTCACGCTCACCCATCCTCTCCCACGGAGGGGCCATGCCGGGAGGTACCCATGGGCGTGGGCTGGACCAAGCGGGGCTGCTGCCCATGCTCTGCTCCTACTGCCAGACCAGAGCCTGCCCCTTTGCACCCAGCGGGAGTCGCACCCACGCCTGCCTGTCCCTACTGTGCGCAAAGGCAACGACTGCGCCAGCCCAGGGGCCTGTTCGCCTGGGGCGGGGGCCATACCCCGCCCTCCCGCCCTGACGGTCTCTCCCCGCCCCCGGGGTCAGTGATGGGCGGGGGCCGTGGCTGGGGCGGGGCTCTCTGGGGCGGGGTATGCCCCGCACTCCTGCCCTGACGTCTCCCGTGCTGGCAGGTGGCCATGCAGTTCATCACGCTATACGGCTATGAGGACATCGTGAGGGCGCAGATCGAGGGCAGCTCGGGCTCGCTCTGGAGCATCAGCCCCCCCAGCCGTGAGCAGATGCGGTGGGAGCTGCTGAACGGCTTGTCGGACATCACGCTGCGGCTCACCTGGACCTTCCAGAGGTACCGGCCAGGACCGGGCGGGGGTCCCTGCCACCCCCAGGGCCAGCGCCTTGCTCCAAGCTCACCCTGCCTCCCCTCTCTCTCCCGGCAGGGACCTGGGCAAGGGTGGCACCGTGGAGCACACCTTCGACAAGCACACCACCGACTTGCAGCCGGGCACCCCCATCCGCACCGAGCTCGCCAACCTGCTGCAGGGAACCAGGGACGCCCCCGTGTGAGTGCGGGCACCGCGCCGCTCCAGGGACAGACCGGGGGGAGCATAGGAGGGGCTGGAAGCCTCCAATTATACTCCTCCCGTCCTGCGACGAAGCATCGGCTGCCTGGTGGCAGGGGTGCCAGGCTCCCAGGGTGTCACACGGCCACCCAGCAGCGGTGTCGGTGCAATGGAGTACCAGGGCCATTGGGGCCCCACCTCACTGGGCTCGGGGGAGGAATAGCTTCTCCCTGCAGGGCTCTGGGGAGAGCACAACAGGAGTCGGGGGGGGGGGGTTGGCCCTGGGCCCGACAGGGCCAGCAGAAGGATGGGGATAATGGGGGCAGGTCAGTCAGCTACAGGGCTGCGAGTGGAGTGACTAGGGTGGGGTGGAGTCACGGGTGACTCAGGGGTGAATACCATGAAAGGCAGGTTCTGGCTGGGTCCAGCGAGGCCTGGGGGCCCGTCCCCGAGCGCTACGCCGAGACCCATCCCCACAGCCCAGCCAGGAGGGAACCAGCCTGCGCCGTGCAGGGAGTGGGAAATGGCGCGGTGCGAGCCGTCTAACAGCCCACCAGCCGTCACCCTGTGCTCAGCTGCCCCCCGGAGCCTGGCCATCCCAGGAGGAGCAGGAACATTCGGCACGGCTCCCCTCACCCCGCTTTGTGTTGCAGGCAAGTCCCCCATCTCTTCCCCACATACATCCGCGCGCCCAACGGCCCAGAGGCCAACCCCGTCAAGCAGCTGCTGCCAGGTGAGCGGGCCGGGGTCTGAGCCGCGGGGAGGAACTTGCCCTGGGGTGCCAGGGAGCAGGGGCTGAGCCCCCCTGTTTCTAGGGTGATGGGTGTCCCCAGTCTCTGTGCTGCTGGCAGCGTCGGGGCCTCGGTTCCTTGGAGGGGGGCAGCCGAGGGGAAAACGGCCCCCTTTGCCTCTCCAGCTGCTGTGCTGCCAGGCCATGGGGGCGCTGCTGCAGGGCCAGGCCTGGCCGGGCAGAGGATGGAATTGCCGGGGACATGGCCCAGCAGGAGCCGCTTTGGGGGGTGGCTGGGCTAAGTGCCCGGGAAGCCAGCCAGGTGGGTGCTGGGGGAGGTGTCCCGCCTGGCTGGAGCGGGGGGCGAGCCCCCAGCCCTGACCCCCCTCTCTCACAGAGGAGGAGGAGAGCTACCTGGGCGTGGAGGTGCAGCTGAAGCGGGAGCGCGTGGGCGCCAACGACAGCTTCCTGGAGTGGTGGGTGGTGCAGCTGAGCGAGTGCCAGCAGCAGACCTGCAACATCCTGCCCATGGTGATCTTCAACGACAAGGTCAGCCCACCCAGCCTGGGCTTCCTGGCCGGCTACGGGTGAGTGCCAGGGCCCCTCCCAAAACCAGCCCCCATTGGCCATGCTGGAGGAAGGGCACCAGCCTGGGGCAGCCCAGGGCTCTGCAGTGTGAGGAGGGGAGGGATATTAGCCAGGGTGGCCTAGCTGCTCGTTAGTATGAGGGAGTGGAAGGATGCCAGCTGTTGTATGGGGGGGGAGGGAGATGGGCAGGGTGCCCCCGTCTGCAGTATGAGGGGGGCATACTGCCCTAGGAAGCCCCTGGGCTCAGTGGGGCATTACTCCCTGCAGCCTGGAGGCCTTTCTGGGGGGACTCCCTGGCCTGTGTTCCCCTACCGTGGTCCAAACAGCCATGCTGGCAGCAGAGCTCGGGGCCTCTGCTCCTGGCACCTCCCATTCCTCACCCCAAGGAGCACACGAGTGCGCTCGGGGCGGCCTCCTGTCACTCACCGGCTTCCCAACGGGATTCCCAGCCGGCCCAATCGCTTGGAACCAGGCCGGAGGCAGCAGGGCCTGAGCCTGAGCCTGCTCTCAGCCCAGGGCCCAGCGGCTGCAGGGAAGGGCTCTGCCCCCAACGCGGTGCTGGGGGGCAGGGAGAAGGGCTGATCCCGCTGCCCTTGCCCCATTGCAGGATCATGGGCCTCTATGTGTCCATCGTGCTGGTGATCGGCAAGTTCGTGCGGGGCTTCTTCAGCGAGATCTCGCACTCCATCATGTTCGAGGAGCTGCCGTGTGTGGACCGCATCCTCAAGCTGTGCCAGGACATCTTCCTGGTGCGCGAGACGGGCGAGCTGGAGCTAGAGGAGGAGCTCTACGCCAAGCTCATCTTCCTCTACCGCTCGCCCGAGACCATGATCAAGTGGACGCGAGACAAGGAGTAGCAGGGAGCCACCCGGGACTATCGCTGCTGCTGCGGGCCCCCTCCGACCCCTGGACCGTCACAACCGAGGCCTTAAACCAGCCCAGCCGGAGAGCCCCGTCTTGGGGGGCCGGGCCGAGTGCACCCTGAGTGCTCCAGGCGACCCGCCAGCCCCTTCCCCTGGCCGGCAGGGGGTCTGAGTTGTGCCCAGCGCCACCCGTGTGGGGAGGGGGCATCTTGGGCAGGCTGGACTTGTGCTTTTTAAAAGGAAGTTTAACTGCTTTACAACTAGTGAGTCCTTTAAAGGCAGCTGGGTGAAGACTCCCCCCTCCCGAGGAGTCACGCTCCCTCCGCATCAGCGGGGTGGGGACACGCTCCTGCCCCAGCCCCACCTCAGTGCCTTCCAGCCCTGCTGCTGCCTGGCTGTTAGCACCCCTGAGCGAAGCGGGGGTGCACGCTGGAGCCCATTCAGCAGCTGTGCCTGCCTGTGAGGGAGATGGGCTCCCCCTCCTGCAGCGGGAGAATCCAAGCCAGCCGGCCGCAGTCGCTCCCAACTCTGCTGCAGGCGAAGCCTGGCCCAGTTGCCCCCTTGGCCTGCTCCTGAATCTGGCTGCACTAACACTCCAAAGCAATACCTTCCCCGCCCCCACTCCCCCCAGCACAGCGCTGGCCAGCACCCATGGGTGCAAGCAGAGGGTCCCACTAGCCTGACACCCCCCCTGGCGGTGCTGGGCTTGCCACTCCTCTTGCCCTGCCTGCAGAGGGCGTGGGACATGCTACTGCAGCCACTGCTCCCTGTGCTAGCAGACAGGGCCCAGTGCAGGGAGCTCTGCTCGCCCCAGGACTGGTTCGCCCCCCCCCCCCCCCCCCCCCGGGGGGGAGGGCTGGGCTCGCTCCAGCTGGACTGTAGATTTTTTTAAATTCAAATGGTTTATTTATACAGATCTCTAATAAAAGCCAAGCCACGGCCTGTTAGTGTGACTGACTGACTCCATCTTCTTGCCCAGGCGGGGCGTGAAGCTGCCTCCTCCCGGCTGGGCGCTCCACTGGGGGCTGGTGCAGTCCGAGGGCCCAACTCAGCCTGGCTCACCCGCTCGAGATCGGGGAGTCAGCCCAGGGCCCCAATCCAGCTGTGCGTCAGGGGATGCAAAATATCGTATTCCTCTTAGAAACAGTCATTAAAAGAAGGGGGGTTGGGAGGTGTCTCCTCTCCTCCCCACCGCTGCAGGTAGCCGGCGCCTCCCAGGGGCAGGCAGTGAAGAAGAGCTGGGCCCAGCACCTTGGAAACAAAGGCAGGCCCGCTGCCTTGCAGCAGGGCCCCTGTGATCTCAAGTCCAGCCTGGACGGGGCGAGGCCCAGGCCCCATTTGCTCTCTGGCAGGCGTGCTGCTCCGGGGGCCCCTGACAGCCAGGGAAGCGTCGAGCTCGTTGGGAGCGTGGTCCACCTGTCAGCTCTCACCCGGAGTCACAGCTTCATCTTCCAGCAAGAACTCCTGGATTTCCAGCTTCATCGCGGCCCTGGAAGACAACCACCATCTCAGCCCCCTGCCACGCCGGGTTGAGCTCCCGGCGCAGGCCCGGTCCGACCGGCTCAGGTCACATTCTGGATGTTATGGTAAAGGAGAAGATTCTGCCTCTGATTTGCTTCTAACTCGGCCCGCGTGGCAGCGGCTTCTCCCAGGGCTCAAGCTAGGATGCAGGCCGCGGGAGCGCGGTGACTGATGGCGCCGGCCCACCTGCCCTCACCCTACCTGCGTTTCCTGCGCTCTGCCTCCGAGCGGACGTAGAGCGGGAGGCTCTCCAGGCAGGTCTGTAACAGAACAGAGCGGCGGTGACAGGCTGCCCCCAGCGTCCCCCGTTCCTGTGCTGCTGGGGTCTGTGCACCAGGGTGTGTGTGTCTCTCCCCCCCCTCCCCCCGCCCCCAGCACCGTGCCGCAGCCCTGGATGGGGGCAGGGGGCTGATGGGCAAAACTGGGATCCGAAGGAGACTCCACCGGGATCACAGTCCTGCCAACAAAGGAGACCCACCCCCCTAGACAGCCAGGTCTGCCGGGTGCCTAAAGCAGGGCTGGGACCGCAGCAGAGCCCCTGAGGGGCAGAGGGGCTCACCGTGTCCTTGATGGTCAGTCTGCAGCCGTAGCAGAGCAGGGGCAGGAAGTCGGCCCGGGCGTCGGCCCTGAGGGGAGAAGACAGAAGTGAGGAGAGGGCTAGGGGCCGGTTCTGCTCGCAGGGGAGGAGCTAGCTGGGGGCAGCTCGAGGATGGTGGTGCCGCGGCTGCTAGGGGAGTGTAGGCCCAGACGGGAAGCGCACGCGGGGCCACAAGGCCAGTGCTGCTCCAAGCAGCGCGCCTACCCTGCGATGGATCCTGGGCTGGGGTTGGCCTTACCCTGGAGCTGTCGTGTTCATGCAGCATCCTCTCTGCTCCTCTGCCCCCAGGCAGCACCCTCTCCCGGCGGGCGCCGCAGCTGGCAGCTTCTGCTGGGAGAGCCGCTCCGAGACCAGGATGGCTTGCAAAGCAGAGCCGTCCTCTGCACCAAAGAGAGATGGTTGTCAGAGCCCCTCGGGCTTCCGCTCCCCATCCAGCAGGCCAGGCATCTGCCTCCCCCTGGCGGAGCAGACAGGGCCAGCCAGTGACCCGAGCCAGGATGGCAAACCCCACAGCCCTGGCCTTCAGACACCCCCTGCCAGGCCAGGCACAGCCAGAGGCAGGTTCCCCTGCATGAGGGGCCCTGGGAAGATCCAGGCCCATAGTTCAGCTGGGAAAAGGAGCTAGTTAAGCCCTCGCCCTGGCCTGCCCTTAGCCAGGCTGCATCTCTAGGCCCCCCCGGCCCCACACCCATGGCAAGTTTCCCCTGCTTTGCTCCTGGGGGTGGTGAGGGGCCAGAGCCGGATGGGCTCTGACCCGGGAGGGCAGTTGTTGGCGCCCTGCCCTAGATCAGCCAGAGGGGATTTTGTGGATGGGGGAGGCTGCCCCGCTCAGGGAAAGGGGTCAAGTGAACGGAGCCTGTGCTGGCCGGGGGCAGGCGGGCAGCGTTCGCACGTACCCACGTTGGTGTCCAGGGTGCACAAGCACAGGAGGCAGCGTTCGGGCTCAGCGGCAGGGCCGGCGTCTCCAGGGGTCGCGCTCAGCTTCTCGCCCGTCCTACAGCCCAGAGGGGGACGCACAGAGGTTAGTGCCAGGCGACGGGGCAGCCAGTGCCACTGTGAGTGCAGCTGCCCCCACAGCTCGTGCGGGCAGACGGGGCCTCCCCCTTCCCCAAGGCCTGGACACCACAGGGGCAATTCTTCAATAGCAACGTTAAGTCTCAAACTCTGCAACTGCCCCACAGCCTGTGCCCCACCCCCATGTCCCCCACTACTCCAGCCCTGGGCTCCCCCCACCCTGCTCTGCCGGGGCCCCTCAAGCCTGACTCCAGTCCCAGGCTCCCAACGCACAGTTCAATCAGTGCCCTGTAGCCCCGCCCAAGCCATTTCAGTCCTGGGCTCCCCACGCAGCAGGAGGTGCTGTGCGCCAGGATTCAGGGGCACTGCAGAGTTCTGACCCTCCCCTAAGCAGAAGTTTCCAGTCATTCCCACCAAGGTCTGGGCTGACAAGGCGGGCGAATGGCCTCCAGGGTGAAGCCACCCCCACGTTTCCCAGCTGAGCGGAGCCCCGGTCTGCAGAGCTGTCGGGGGGGGGCGCAGGGGCCAGCCCTTACCGGTACACGGTGCTGACGGTCGAGGGGAACTCTGCCTGCAGCCCGTAGAGGAAGCGCTCGATCACCCGGTGTATGCTGGCCTTCTCCAGGGCCTGGGGGGGAGGAATCCACATGGAGTCTCGTAGCCTAGCTGATTCCAACCCCCATGCCCGCCCTAGGACTCCCCTGTGATGACAGCAGAGCAGCTGGGTCATCCCCACAGATGTTCAGGACCCTGGAGTGATGGAATCGGCACCATGCCCGGCTCTGCAGTGCCCAGGGGAGGGGGCGTTAGCCTAATCTGCCAGAGCCTTCCCCCAGTCACATCGGCCAGGCCCCAGCCATCACCGCCTCGGCTGGGGCCCTGGCCTCACTGCCCATCCCTGTCAGGGATCACTGCAGGCCAGCACTTGGGAAAGTGTCCCTTGGTGCCAGGGGCACTGGAGTTCCTGCACTGCAGGGCTCCCTAGAGGGCACAATGACCGCTGGGAAGGGCTGCAGGTCCTGTGGGTTGGGTTGGGTTGGGTTGGGATGAGCAAGAGAGAGGGGGGTGCCCAAGAGGGGGTGCCATTGACCTGCCGGAAGAGCCCAGTGCCCGGCAGGCTCTCCCCTGCCGGCTGGCCCAGATCCGCACGCCCCCTACCTTGGTGTCCAAGGCAGGAGTGAAGACCGTGGGAACGCCAAACAGGTGGTTGTAGAAGGCGATTTCCTTGGCAGAGTACTCCCTCATGGGCCGCACCACCACCACGTCGCCATGGCGATCGTCCGAGAAGCCCTGCGCGGAGAGAGACTGGGTGAGGGACCGGCCCACCGCCAGCACCGGAGCAGAGCCAGGATGGCCCCCAGCCCTCTGCCCGCGGTCGTCCTGCACGTCTGACCAGAGAGCTCAGGTCTGAGCACGGCTGGGTGAACACCAGCCCCATACCTGCCCTTCACACCCAGCCTGGGCTCCTAGCTGCTCCTTCGTGGCCGCCAGGAGCACACCAGTGGCAGTGCCAAGCTCTGGGGTGAACTGCCAGACAGGAGCACGCTCCCGGCCCTCCAGACTAGCTTCCCCTTGGAGCTGGACTGCAGCGCACTCCGAGCTAGGCTGCTCTCGGAGGGCAGTCGTAGGAATGATTCTGAGGCAGGCCGCGCCCACGTGAGGGTTCTCTACAAACCCCTCTGCCCCCCTGCTACCCCCATCTCACAGGGGCACCCAAGGCACCGAGGGGAAGGGACATGCCTGAGGCCACACAGGGAGTCAGTGCCAGAGCAGGGACTAGAACCCAGGAGTCCCAATTCCCAGCCTCTTGCTCTAACCACTGGGCAAGGGAGTGTGGACAGTTCTCAGGCTGGACATGCAGCCTAGTCCTTGAGGCAGATCCTGGCTGGGCAAGGGTTTGTCTGGCTCCCTGGTAACCTAGCCAGCCTCCAGTAAAGGGACAGCCAGGGGAAGAGGCTCTCTCACAGAGCCTCCTGCGGGGCTCCATAGAGGGCGGCGCAGGTCGCTGCTGAGGGGGCTCTGCCCACAGCCAGCTGCAACGACATCTCCGCTCGCGTGTCCATGTTCCTCCCACGGCCCCCTGTGCGGATCGGTCGGAGCGACGCCCCCCAGCCAGCCTCTCTCCCAGAGCCCTTTCTGGCCCTGGCTTCCCAGCCAAGCTGCACAGATCGATGGCTGCGGGCGGCTCCCCGCTGCGTCGCGCACGCCTGGAGTTCAGAGCAGGGGTGAGGCAGGAGCCAGGGCTAACCCCGGAACTGCTGCTGTCTGCGGCCTGTGTGCAAAGCAGCACCTGGGATCCCTCTTGAAGGGCAAGCAGAGGCTGGGGAGATCGTAGATCTGATCCAGCGTGGCGATCCCTGTCTGTCAAGGCCGGCAGCTGGCCTCCAGCATGGGCGTCGGTGGGAGGCAGAGCCCCCCAGTGCACCTGGCCTGCTCTGTGCTGTGGGGAACACCGTCCCCTGAGCGCCAGACAAGCAGCGTCAGTGGCTGTAACATTATCGGTCCCTTGTGGGGAAAAAGTCAGGCCCCGGTTCTCTCTTGCTGGCCCCCCAGTGGGGCTGCTTTTCATGGGAGCTACCTTGGCTGCCCCTACGTTTCACTAACGACCCTTCCACTGCACACATGCGTGCAGCCCTGGCCAGCCCACGCCCCTTGCTCTCCGCTTCTGGGAAGGGATTAAAGAGCAATTCCCTCAGGATGCACAGTGCCTGCGGGACTAGGGAATAGAGATCAGACCGTTCCCTGGGTCCCTAACTCCACCCCCCCCTTTAGATTTTCAGGGTGGGAGAATCAGATTTTAGTTTTTATCGTAGCATTATCTTTTTCTTCCTTGGCCTCCTGTCAGAAACTAACTCAGCGGTTGGTCTGCTCTGAGGACGGAAAGGGGAGCCAAGAACTCTTGGGTTCTCTGGCCTTGGCCGAGTCACTTCCCGTCGGTTCCAGTGCCTGCCCCATGGGGAGAAGTGGGAGAAGACGTACAGTCCCAAGTATCTCTCTCTTTGTTAAGCCAGTCCCCAAGTGCCTGGGAGCTGCAGTCTAAGGGTTAACGCGACCCGGCAGGAGCCGGGGCCGCTAGGCGTTCGCTCCAGCTTGTGAAGGGAAGCAGAAGCACGTGGCGCGGCTCCCCTGACCGAAAGCCCCGGCTTGAGCAGTCAGTGCAGTGACATCTGTCCCAGCTCCTGCATTTGCTGCTGCAGCTGAGAAATGTCAATTTCACGGGCAGGAAAACCTCCCCTTCCTGGAGAGCATGGAGCGGGAACTGATCGGATCAGAATCCCCGTGCTGCCGTACAGCAGCTCGCACGCGGCTCTGCTCCGATGCCCATGTACTTGTGGGGAGCCTGTTAGAGGCATTAAGGCGGCTGGAGAAGATCAGGGATGTAGCAGCCCTTTGTTCCAGGCCCACGTGAAGATTATACATTCACCCAACACTAAGCTGTGGGCATGCTCAGTTACGAAGACAATGGAGAAGTTGCAGCAGTGCCAGCTTCTCCCCGAGGTCCCGATAAACCACAGCGCACTAGTGCCGCCAAGGCCCAGGCAGAGCAGAGAGGCCACAGTGCAGTGCGTCTCCATCTCCCCCAGCACAGCAGCCTGGCAGCACTGGGACCAAGGCCTCCAGCTAGGGAAAGGGGCTAACAGTGGAGTCCGGGTAACCGGTGACTCCAACCCAACTCAGACGCCTGCTTCCAGGCGCCCTCCCGCCCGCGGCCAGCACTTACCGTGTCCATGGCGAGGGAGGCCCCCCGCCCCAGGGAGAGGTTGGTCAGCAGTTTGACAGCCAGGCGGGTGCAGCTGTCTCCCATCATGACCTTGGAGTACCCGTGGGCCCTGGCCATGTGCAGGATCAGGTGGTTCCTGAAGGGGGAGAAGCCAGAAGTGAGGGAGGGCTGCAGTCCGGAGCCAGACAGATACGCTGAGCCCATCAGCCCCGGCCAGCTCCTCACGGACGCCAGCTCCTCACGGACACCCATTGCTGTGCCCAGGGTGAGGCAGAGGGGCCATGTGGGGCAGCAGAGCCCACTCCTCCATGGGGGCTTCAGAGGAGGGAGACGAGATCTCACGGGAGCTGGGGGGAGGAGATGAGCAGGGCTGGGCTTTCCCAAGGCCCCGAAGGGAGATCAGCCTCCAAACCCCACTGAATTCCAAAGGCAGCTGGGTGCCTTGCGAAACCCAGTGTGCGCGGGCAAGTGGCCTAGGTAGCTCCTCCGGAGATCCCCAGAGCTCGCTGGGGGGCCTGGCGCGAGAGCGATGGACAGACAGGTGCTCCCGTGGATGGGAGCTGCAGCATCATGGCTGGGAAGCAGTGCATGCTGGGATGGATTGGAGGACAGGAAAGGCAGAGGAAAAAGCTCCTCAGCCCCTCCTCTCCTGGGCAGCCCCCAGGTGGCAGAGAGGGCAAAGCTTGCAGCCTTTGGCACAAGGGCTCAACTCGCGGTCAGCACTCTGGACGGGGCTCACCGCAGGGTCTGCAGCAGCTCTTCTTTAGCCGTCAACGTCTTCACGGACCCAAAGAGCCGGATCAGCTGCTCGGTCCGGACTGCAGCCAACAGCCTGGCTTCCGGGGCGGCCAGCCCCTCCATTCCGGGCGCATCTCGCACGCTGACCTTGGCAAGCTTCTCCTGGATCTGCCTCTCAGGCAGAGAGGGACCTCCGCCCTCCTCCTGCCTCTGCTGGCGGATAAAGCCCTCCACCGCCTCCTTGTAGCTGTCCTTGGGCCCTGCGGGATTGTGGGGCACACGCTGCAGGATGGAGCTGGGCAAGTCAAACACCTGCATGGAGCAAGCAGAGGATGGATCCTGTTAGCTACAGCAAGCGCCTGCATGGCAGTGAGATAAGTGCTTCGGGAGCTGGCAAAACCCAGACAATGGAGGAGCCCCAGGGAGCTTGTGCCAGAGACAGGATTAGAGGTCAGGAGTCCCAGCTCCAGCTCCCCACTCACACCAGGCTGCCTCTCTAATACATAAGAACATAAGAATGGCCCTACTGGGTCAGACCAAAGGTCCATCTAGCCCAATATCCTGTCTTCCAACAGCGGCCAGTGCCAGGTGCCCCAGAGGGAATGAACAGAACAGGTAATCATCCAGTGATCCATGCCCTGTCGCCCATTCCCAGCTTCTGGCAAACAGAGGCTAGGGACACCATTCCTGCCCATCCTGGCTAATAGCCACTGATGGACCTATCCTCCATGAACTTATCTAGTTCTTTTTTGAACCCTGTTATGGTCTTGGCCTTCACAACATCCTCTAGCAAGGAGTTCCACAGATTGACTGTGCGTTGTGTGAAGAAATAATTCCTTTTGTTTTAAACCTGCTGCCTATTAATTTCATTTGGTGACCAGTAGTTCTTGTGTTATGAGAAGTAGGAAAACAACACTTATCTACTTTCTCTACACCAGTCATGATTTTATAGACCTCTATCATATCTTCCGCTTAGACGTCTCTTTTCCAAGCTGAAAAGTCCCAGTCTTATTAATCTCTCCTCATATGGAAGCCGTTCCATACCCCTGATCATTTTTGTTGCCCTTTTCTGAACCTTTTCCAATTTCAATATATCTTTGTTGAGATGGGTCGACCACATCTGCACACAGCATTCCAGATGTGGGCATACCACGGATTTATATAGAGGCAACATGGTATTTTCTGTCCTATTATCTATCCCTTTCTTAATTATTACCAGCATTCTGTTCGCTTTTGTGACTGCCGCTGCACATTGAGTGGATGTTTTCAGAGAACTATCCCCAAGATCTCTTTCTTGAGTGGTAACAGCTAATTTAGACCCCATCATTTTATATGTATAGTTGGGATTATGTTTTCCAATGTGCATTACTTTGCATTTATCAACATTAAATTTCATCTGCCATTTTGTTGCACAGTCACCCAGTTTTGTGAGATCTCTTCGCAGTCTGCCTGGGTCTTAACTATCTTGATTTTGTATCATCTGCAAATGTTGCCACCGCACTGTCTCATTCAGGCCCTATCATGGCTAAGGGCACCTGACCCAGGGCCTCCTCCATCCCAGCCTCGTCAGTTCCTATTGGACAAATCTGTGCCCCTCAGTCCTCGGACACCGGGTGGCCACGCTGAGCAGGGGTCTCGGACATCTCAGCCAGAGGCTCTTGTCCCAGCACCTGGAATCGCAGCGAAGGGGGGGTCTGGGGCATGTGATCTCTCGCCCAGTATCTGCCCCAGCGCTCCGCAGGCCCGTGACCCCACCCTACCTCTTCTAGGTGGGCCAGGTGATATGGAAACCCCGAGGCTTGCAGGACGGTCTCCAGCTGGAGCAGCGTCTTCTCTCTCTCTGCCAGGCTTTGCCCGCACACGGCTCCCTCTGAGTAGCAAACAAGAGATGCCAGATGAGGAGAGTTAGCTGCCTTGCAGGAGAGACTTCTCCATCGCTGAGGAGGGGGTGGCCTAGGACGCTCCAGCCAACCCAGAAGGCATGCAGCCACATCTACCCTCCTCATCAACCAACAAGGCAGGAAGCAGGGAGATGGGGCTCTCCAGTGCTTGGGCAGGGGGGATACGGGCCTGCAGGCCTTGAAGGCTGCATGCAATGGAGCAAACTGCAGCCACCCTTCTCTTTCAGACAGGAGTGAAGCCTGGGGAGCAGTTCCCAGCAATGCTCCATCTTCCTACAGGCAGCCAGACCAGACCATCTCCAGGTGAGGCCTGGATTCTCCATGGGCAGGCCAGAGCCATGCTGCAGAACTTTAGATGCATACGCCACTTCCTCAGCTCCATATACAGTATTCGCTAATACACGTTAGGCGTAGTACGCAGCATATGAGTAGGTATTCGTGCATGGGTTTAGATATCTAAGTGTTGAGAAGTTACGTTAACTGAATGAATTATGCTCTTCCCACAATTCTATTCATCCATCAAGTATCCCATAACGCTCTGCAAAGCTGAAGTCAGCTTTGGCATTAGAAAATAAGAAACTTGTCAAAGGCAAAATACATGAATGTTCTGCCCCAGCACAGTGGGGAGGTACCTTCACATCCCTGGAGTGCTAGTATCCAAACCAAGATAAGGAACAAACAGGCCAACAAGTGAAGGAACCAGTACAAACGGAGGGCTTGGACTTCAGTGACATATAAAGAGCTTTGTAACTTGTAAAATCATCCTATAAATGCCGCTAGCTGAAATGCAGTACTTTGAAGCACCCCGTCCATGCACGGCGAACCCACCGCGAGAGGGTGCGTTCGTCTCCTCGTGTTGTGCCGGTTTCTCTTTAGACGATGCATTTGGCTAAGTTCAGCTGGCTGGTCTCGAATGTTTTTAAGACTGAAGCGCGAGCGTAGTCAAACAACAGGCTACGCCACTGAGTCAGCAGCAGAACCCAGCAAAAGAACCCAGAAGAAATGCACTGATCCTCCAGCCAAGCCCCACTCCCTTTCAACCCCCCCCAGGGACGTCGGGAGGATCCCCCCTCCATCCTCAAACACCCATCCCATTTACAGTCTCTCGACTCCTACGCAGCCTGCTGGTGCTGCCAGGCGGAGAGCGCCCATCTGGTCGAGGAACGAAGTGCTGGGCTCAGCAGGGCACGTCCAGCCCATGCAGCCGCTGGAGGCTGGGAAGAGACCTGCTAACTCGTGCTCGGGTAGCATCCAGACTGGGATTGCTCTGCAGTCTCTGGAGATGGACGCACAATTGGTGCACTAACCCCCTGGTCCATCACCCTCCCATAGTGGGGGTTGGTGTAGCTGCCCAGCGTGTTGTCTCTTCGGATTTAAAGAGAGCAGCTAGCAGCTGCAGATAAGCCTTCGCCTATCTGCAATGGGGGTACACATACCCCACCCTCAGCTGGGCAGGGGAAGGGTTAATAGTCTGTCAGGGCAACGACAGAGGAAACTTCCCCTCTTCCTGCCCGCTCATGAGGGCAAGGAAATTAAAGGGGGCAGTGAGAGGCTCCGAGTTCCCCACGCCTCCCACGGGAAGGAAGCTCCCCCTGCTTCCTGCCCAGGGGGACCAGAGAACCAGGACAGGTGGGGAAGCTGCTGCCTGATGAGGGGATACTGTGAGTGGTGGATCAGGCTGAGAGCCTTACTCCTGAGCCCATGCCGGGAGCTCTGGCTGGAGGGGTGTGGGAGCCTTTGAGTGGCCGGACCCTTCCTGGGAAGGGGACACCATCCACCTGTGTGTCTGAAGTGTGCCTCCCCTGGGTGCCAGTCACTGAACCAGACTAGCTTAACCCCCCATTTCCAATGTGTTTACTCTGTGCACCGGCCATCTCACTGCTGGCTTGGGGAGCCTGCCTCTCCAGGCCTGAAGGGACGCTGCCAGTAACAGGAGAGCGGAGAAACTAGACTGGCCTTAATAGTGAGAGGGGCACTATCCGAAACCAGCTTTCTTAATGCTGGACAGCATCAGAAGATTCCAGAGGGTTCTGGCTGTAGGCTGGCCCAAGACTGCGTGCACAGAATGGGTTGGGAGCAGGGCAGGTTGCTAGGTTACCGTCAACGTAGATGATGCCCGGCATAAAGCGCAGTTTCTTGGCTGTCTCCCGACTCAGCCCCTGAGAAGAGAAATGGGAATGAGCCACTCGTCCCAAGCGCTGGGAAATGTAATTCATGTTTGCGTGTCTTAGCAGCATCCCCTGGATCTAGCAGAAAGGGAGGTCAGACTCCTCTAATCCTGGCTGTTAGATAGGCATTCCCACGGCCCCGGCAGAGATGGCGAATGTTTCTAGTTAACAACACACCTCGATCTCATGGGCCCCAGCCTAGACCACGTGATTCTAATTGACACCTGATTCCGCTCAGACATTGACCTGGACACTGACATTTGGACGCATTGTCACAGTAACTGTGGGCATAGCTTAGATGCTCCCCACCTTTTGGGAATAGAGAGCTGCAGGTGCACTGGACAGGAGTTGTGAGAACTTCTAAGGAGCCACATTCACTGATTGCACTTCTACGGTTTAGACATGGGGGCAGACAGAAGCAGAAAGCCCTTCTGGGAGATCCAGGCCCTCACCCCACAAAGCAATGCTTTCCTCTCTGCCAGTTCATCAGCCTCCTCTTAACCATCTCTAACTCCCCTGCTACAGTCCAGGTGGCTGTTCCTTCCTCCGGCTAACTGCTCTCACTGTTCCTAACAAGTTTCCCCGCAGCACTGCAGAGCGGATACCTCTTGGACTTGTCGAAGCATTGAGCTGGAGGCAGGTCCACCTGATAATGCAAGAAGAACCTGTGAGGGAGATAGGAGAGAGACTTAACCATTCATCTCTGCTTCCCCCTCACCTTCCCACAGCCGTCCCGCCCTTACACAAGAAGCGACTCTACCTTTTCTCCTGGGTAAATGGCACGATTCTTCCCAAGCATCGCACGGAACTTGTGAACAAAATACTCCCTAAAACAGGCCCTTGGAAACAAACACGCACGTAAGTCATTAGAAACGACACTCCCAACCTTACGCGAGATCCCAGCCTTGGCAGGCAGCACCTCGGGCACCCGCATCTCGCACTAATAAAGCTTTGATTCCAGCACAGGCCAACCAGGAGGCACAGGGAACTGCCTGCTACCCTGCCCGACAGGGAAGTCAGTCAATGAGTCCCCCCTTAAGATTTCATCAATTAGCTTCTGTCTGACAGCAAGACAGTTCCAGTGTGGGGACCTAGAAGTCGGTGAAGATCCATTTTAAAGCTAGTCTGAGAAACCAGGCTTGCTGGACTGGATCCCTCTCTAGCCCTCTGAGCCAAAACACTTAAACAAAATAAAAAGCCCAAGAGGAAAAAGTTCCGGTGTACAAAGGCAGGTATCCATTTAAAAGGGTTTGCTGCTTTTGTAAATGGTCAAGTTAAGCCAGACACACGGAGAGGTAATTTGGTCCCCAGCCTCAGTTCAGAGCGGTCAGGGTAAAAATGTGCGCAAGGCGCTAGAAGGCCACGTTTGCAAAGACCATAGGCATGCAGGTATGGGCATGCCCACTGTTAACTGCAACTGGAGTTCTGATCACTTGGGTGCGCGCAGTTGCTTGGGTTGTACTCTCAGTCACAGTAGTACCCGTACAAACTGCCTACGCAACTGCAAACCCAAGCATTCCAAAATCTGGCCGGCAGAGCTCAAACAAATCAACTTCCGAGATTCATATAAAAACAATATGGGGCAGATTACATCTGTCTGTTTTCCAAATTTAAAAAAAAAAAAAGGTGAACCCCCTCCCCCTTTTCCTACGCTCATACCCCATTTCTCCACAACTAGGGCCCTGCATCACAGTATCTCTTGCATGCAATGGCAGTGATCGGGTCTGTGCAGAAACAAAATGATGCCAATCCAAAGCAAGGGCCTTACAGGGCAACTCCCCACACTCCTGAGTGAATTCAGTCTGCTGCACACAACTGTTGTGCTCTTTATTATCTAGTTGGTTTGAATCTCTCTTGCAACCCTCCTCAGAAACAGCCCTATTTCAAACAGATTTATAGAGATCAGTAAATGAGGATCTAAAGATGGGAACGTTCTGGCCTTCTGAACAGGGTTTTTTCTTGCAAACCGCTATGGCTGTTTCGCTCTTACTTGCAAAAGGCATCTCCAACACGAATGACTAACACAGGAGAGGCCTCCTTGCACTTCATGCACTTCTGCGCACAGCTGGGGAAAGACAATCAAAGCGAACCGATTACCACTCTAGGGACCACCTTCACGCAAAGAGCAATGCAAACCACCATCAGCTTGTTTAAACACTTGGAAGATACCAGGTGCTTTGTAAGTACAGAGGTGAAGGATGGGCGTAGTGCAATTGTATTTTTTTAATAAATGAATCTGGGGTTGATGTGGGAACTAGAGAGACTGAAATGCTGAGGTTATGTACGCACGGGAGGTGGTAGCGCAACCAGTGGCCTAGCAGTAAAAGGCTACGTTATACTATTAGCCCTGGAGCTGACCAGTTACCACCTCCAACTATACAAATCTCAGTCCACATATCAATTATGTCAGGTCCCGTTTTCAAAGCACAACTCCGGAGGCATGTGTTCAAGCTGGTATTTGCACATACGCAGCTGCAGTTGTGCCATGTCAATTGTGGCCATGTGATAATCTGGCCAGATGAGGTCCAGGGGCACCCTGCAATTTCTCTCTCCTCTGAAGGGCCAAAGCCCTAAGGGGTGAGTAAAATAGTCACAGCAGAAGGTAATGGTCACCTTGGTGGCTCTATACCTAGGTATTGTAGCACCCAAAGGCCCCAGTGAGGAGCAGTGTCCCATTGTGCTGGGCATTATAAGCCCACCGATCAACACCCCAGGCCTGGCCTGGCCTCAGGATGTAGGCTGGCATCGCTATGTCCCTCAGGGGGGTGAGAAACCCACATGACTGAGCACCGTGGCTACGCCGGCCGAGCCCCCAGTATAGACGCAGCAACGTCCCCCCTAAATCCCGCTCTGCGGCTCGAGGGAGCCGGGCAGGCCGCGGCCACCAAGGCCAGAGCTGGCCTGGCCCAGGCTCCAGCTGGCCCCCCGTCCCCGCTGTCTCTGCGGCCAGGCGAGGGGGCGGTTCATGGGCCGTGGCCGGCCCTGGCTAATGCTGGGCCGAGCCGAGCCGGGCCGGGCCGGGCCCCACAGCCCAGCGAGGCCGATCCCCGGGGGTGACCCCCCCGCGGGGGGCCGGCTCTCACCTGACGCGGGGCCGCCTCCGGGGCTGGCCGCAGCCCCCGTACTCCTCCTGCGCCTGGCACATGGCGGCAGCGCTCCCCTCCCCCACGTGACGCGCAGCCCCGGTCCCCCCCGCCGCTTCCGGCGCGCCCCTTCTGCGTCACCGCCCCGCGCCGCGATGACGCGCGCATGCGCGGGGCCCTCCGCGCTCCCGCCCCTTCCTCATGGCGGCCGCGATGTTCCGGAGCCTGTTGGTCTCCGCGGCCCAGCAGCGGCCTCCGGCCCCGGGCCCGGGCGGGACCCCGCGGGAGCAGCCGCCCGGCGGCCCCGCCCCCGACACGCTGGAGGCGCAGTTCAGCTGCCCCATCTGCCTGGAGGTGTATCACCGGGCCGTGTGCATCGCGGGCTGCGGCCACACGTGAGCGGGGCCGGGGCCGGGGGGTAGAGACGAAACCACCCTGGAGCCCATAACCCCCCCCTCCGGCTCAGCGCCTGGCCCCCGGCTCAGCGCCTGGCCCCCGCCCCTTCTCGGGGGCACCCATGGGACCCCCTCATCACCTCCCTCCCCCTCTCATCCCCCCACCCCTTCTCGGGGGCACCCATGGGACCCCCAGCACCTCCCTCCCCCTCCCATCCCCCCCCCACCTAGGGCTGGAGCCCCTTCCCCCACCGACCCCTGCCCGCCCCCTGCGGAGCCAGCCCGGCTTTCAGCCTGGCCTGGGGGAGTCGGTTGATTTTTTCCATGGGATTAAATGTGAGTGTAAAACAAAATCCCCTGCCCTGTCCATTCCTGACTCTGCCATGGGCCAGATTTCGCCCAAGGGGCTCGTGAGCGATGGGTATGGTGCTTGTCTTGAATGGAGCCATTGAATTTTCAGCTTTGTTTGGAGTCTGTTTGGGCGTTGCGTGATTGGCAGCTTCTTATGTTGTTGTATCAGATCATCTAACAGCTGAGTCACCCAGTTCCTTAAAACTACCTTTCTATGCATATCTCTTATGACTCGATTCCCCAGAGCGTGAGGCAATTGTAAGTGTCAGAACATGCACTGATTGTTTTGATCTAGTTTAACTCTGGAGCAAACACTACTTATCCTGACGGTGGTGGTTTGCTTGTGTGGTATCGGCAACATGCAAAGTGCTTGGTGGAAGAGCTCTGCCCTGAAAAGCTTACAGTCTAATTGGGCAAGAGATGGAGGCGGGATGGGACGTGACAGAAGGTAGCTTGAGGGGCAGTGTCCCTAGCCTCTGTTTGCCAGAAGCTGGGAATAGGTGACAGGGGATGGATCACTTGATGATTCCCTGTTCTGTTCATTCCCTCTGAAGGCACTGTCAGAAGACAAGATACTGGGCTAGATGGACCTTTGGTCTGACCCAGTATGGCTCTTCTTATGTTCAGTGCTAGCAAATGTCATGTTCCATGGGTTTTGTTTTGATCTAGGGCACAGGGGGAGCAGCAAGGTTTATAGGGCGCCTGGAAGGAAGCATTTCCTAGACCGTCCCTTGATTTTCCCTTCTCATTACAACCGGAAGCAGTTTCCATACTGGCAGTGCTGAACGAAACAGCGAAACTTACTGCCTCCTTCACCATCTTGGACTTTACCTCACTCTCCCCTCATCACCTCCTCAATGTAAATAGCTAAGCTAGGGGTGGGGCCCACATTGATGGTATGGAGGGGTATTCCATGAGCTGCCACCCAGGTGCGCCAGTGACGGGCACTTCAGCAGTGTGTGTGAGGGCAGAACGAGCATTGCATAGTAAAATGGCAGCTGGAGTGAAAGGAATGTCTGCTAATGATGACACCAGCAGAAACTATGGAGCCTTGTAGTGCCCTGTGCTTGTATTGTTATCTGAATCTGCTAAGAGGCTCCTGGGGAAACCCCACAAAGGACAGGTCCCTTCTTGGCAAAACAAGTTGAGAGAGCGCCTCGGGGCTTGTCTACACTACCAAGTTTTGTTGACAAAACTTACGTCGACACCCAAAAGTCGACAAAACAAAAATCGCCAAAGGGTGTTCACACTTGCTCCTTCTGTTGACAGATCATGTCCACATTGGGGACACCATTATGGACAGGGTGAGCAATGCACCGTGGGTATGTATCCCACAGTGCAGGGTTGTGGGAAGGAAGAGCTGATCACTGCGCATCTTGGGATTCTCTCCGAGTTGTCCCACAGCCCCCACCGCTGCCAGAGCAGCATCCGTGCTGAGGAATGGCAAAGCAGCACCGCAGACCGTTCCCCTCCCCCCGCAGCAGCAGTCGTGTCCCTAGTGCTGGGCAGAACAGGAGCATTCCAGGGTTTTGCTCTTTGTGGGCTCCCCAAAGGGAGCAGCACACATACTTCCCGGAGCTTTGAAAGGGGAGGGGCGCACGCCTGCAGGAGATCAAAACACTGAGCTGAGCAATCCGGGCAGGCCTTGTGGGATACTGGCGGAAGCCAGTTCTGTAGACAAAACAATCAGCAGTGTCTACACTGGCTCTTTGTCGACAATAAAGGGAGGGGAAAAGACAAAAGTCTCCTAGGGGTGGACGTTTTTTGTCACCAAAACTGGGTGTTTTTCACGACAAAAGTCCCATTGTAGTGTATAAGCTCTTGCTGTTTTGTCGCCAAAAGGCAGTGGTCATGCAGTATAGCAGACAGATGTCTAGGTGGTTCTGTTCATGTAAAATACACTCCTGCTGGTAGACAACTGTAGCTTGGTGGTTTGATTTCACCAGCAATGGAAAAACTTGCAGCTGATGAGCTTTGCTCTGCAGTTCCAGGGAGTGCACTGTCTGGGGCTGCATTTTCAGACTGCGCATCGCTTGAGGGTGGATGGGGAGGCTAACTGTTTGGGGGACTGCAAATGACAGGGCCTGGCCTGCTTTCTCTCTCCTATGGTGTGAGTTTTCTGTATAGTGGTGGTGTGTGAGACTGTTAAATCAAACAGGGAACACAGGCACCTTTGACTATTTCCAAATGCTTAATTCTGAGCCGTGTTCCCCTGGGGAAGTAAACAGTTTAAAGACACCTCAGCAGGCTGATGGGGCCCAAAGCTCTTCTTGAACTTCCTTCAGAGCCTGAAAAATGTCCAGCTTCTCCAAATCACAGACTGCCGTTTAAAATTGCCCCTTCTCTGTTGGACCAATGACAAGGTCCGCAGGCCTCAGTCTCCGGCCATTGCTCACCTTGGCTGTTGATGAGCCAGACAGGATCAGCAATTCCAAGACTCAGTTCAGAACGGGGCTTTCTCAACAGAGCAGAGCGGAGGGACTCCGCAGTGCATGCTCCTACATCAAACCAAGCTGGCCGGTCCAATTTTAGGCCTCCCTCTGTCCCAGTGGCATTCCTTCTATTGAGTGAGCTTCAGTGTCAGCACTGTGCCAACGGAGCAGGAGACAATGCCGGCCCCAATGAGCTTGCTATTCTGGTACCTAGCCTTGCAATGGTGACTCCCACAGGAGTCCTCCTTTTGGTCTGGTCCTCTTTGGGTCACTGGGGCGGATTTGGCCTGCCTGCAGTAATGATTGAGCATGATGTGGAGGGCAGCCATGTCTATCACTGGGCCTATCCCTCCTGTAGACACAGTGGTGTATGCACCAGCTACAGGTAGAAATCTTGCAGGGGACAATGTTGGACAGCTTTGCTGTGAAGAGGAGGGGGCTGTCATCCTAGCATTGGGGTCAGAATGGAAGGAAGAAATGGGTGGGGGCTGGGTCCCCATGAGGGAGTAGGAGGGAATGAGGCTGTGGGTGAGCAGAGCTTTGAAGATCCTGTGCTTATGCTTTGTGGGGAATGGTAGAGTCCGCACGGGTGGTTGGCGACATGATGAAGATTACTAGCAGCATCTGGAGGGAGAAGCAGGGAGACCTGAGAGCAGATTACAGGAGTTAAGGAGAGGTGACCAACGTGCACATGAGGGCTTTAGATCTTGTCTTCACTAGGAAAACATGGGAGCTAGAACTTGAGCCCGAGAGACAGTAGTCAGTAGTGATGGCAAAGGCAGCATTGGGGAGGGATGTGGAGAAGCTGTGGGTTTATTTGACCAAAGTGCCTTTGAGTCAGTGACCAAACTACTTAACTTGGTACCTCACCCTGCCTGTCCAATGGGCTGGACTCTTGGCGAGCTGCCTGTGCTAACAGACCCTAAGAGGATCATGTGGTCCTTCCCTCTGTGCAATGTGCTGCATTGGAAGCTGCTGAGGAGAGGAGTCTGGGTGGAAGGCAGGTTCACTGGTGGCTCCCTGCTTTTGTTCAGGAGCAGAGTAGTGAGCTTGTACATATATATCTAGTACCCTCTCCTCATGCCACTGATCCAGAGAGACTGGCAGGAAGTGCAGCTTTTGGGGACACCCGCTGCCTTTACTGTGTGAGAGAGTCCATCTTTGCACCAAGCAGGGGGGTCGTTGAGGACTGTCATGCCAGTGGCAGGAAACTAACCAAGTGGCATGAGGTGGGTGTGGGAACTGGCACGTACCAATGTGCTCTGCATTATCACGTACTTGTGTTACCATCATGCTTGCAGGCCCCAACTGAGGCAAGGCCTTCGTGTGCTGTGTAACCACATAGTGAGACAGTCCCTGCCCTAAAGAGCTTAGCTAAGTAGACAAGACAGGCAAAGGGTAGGAGAATGCAAGATGGGGCTGATAGTATTTCCTAATAGGGAACTGCGACAAGGAGATGAAGCAACTTGCTTGGAGTTGCGCAGGGAGCACATGATGGAGCCACGTTTTGTTTTGACATTTTCAAAAATAAAAAATTCTGGTTGTCTGGTTCAAAATGACATTTCGTTTTGAAATTTCAGCTAATTAAAGTAGGACAGGGTGGAGAAGAAAGGTAAAGTCGAAACAAGACCTTCTGATTGATCTGAAACGCGAAAAAAATCCATGTTTTAGTGCAGAAGTTTGAGATTTTGACTTTTCGTCCCAATTTGAGATTGGAGAGGGGGTTTCCATCTCTCAAATATTCATGGGACCAATAAAAACATTTCCCACCTAGGTCTAAACTGAAACATCCAACCCCACTCCAAGAGTTAGTCGTGGGCGGCAAGGCGGTGTTGGGTAGACTCCACTCTGTGTTATTGGGGAGCAGACAATGAACCGATTGCATGTTGACCTTAAAGAATTATGGATTCATTGCAGCTTCTCTTTGTCTATTTCAGAGCTGTTGAGCATGTCTTGGATGAGCAAGGGAGGGAGGGGGTTCTTAATATAGCTGTCTGGAAACTTTCCAGGCTCAAACTACCAGGGCTTTGGAGCGGAGCCCGGAGATGGAGCATGGAGCAGTGGAGCTGCAGGTTTTTGCCTGGAGCTGGAGCGGAGCCGGAGCACAGCTCCCAAGCCCTGCAAACTATAGCTTCCAGTTTATTTTCAGCAGGGATCCCAGCTAATCTTTACAGATGTCTACAGTTTTCCCTTTGCTCAAGATAAAAAGGTACGGCCAGCTAGCTGTTCCGCTCTGGACAGATCCGTTCACAGTGGAAAGGCTGGGGTGCTACCAAGAGGGATTTGCCATTTGCCCTTTTTGTCTCCCCCACTCACCTGTAGCCCAGAGGCCTGTTTCCAGTAGAAAAGTTTATTTCCCAGAATTTCCTCTCCAGCACTTGATTTGAGGTCCCTGCTTCTGCAGGCATAAGAACTTTGGGGGGAGGGATAGCTCAGTGGTTTGAGCATTGGCCTGCTAAACCCAGAGATTGTGAGTTCAATCCTTCAGGGGCCATTTAGGGATTTGGGGCAAAAATCTGTCTGGGGATTGGTCCTGCTTTGAGCGGGGGTGGGACTAGATGACCTCCTGAGGTCCCTTCCAACCCTGGTATTCTGTGATTTGAGAGGAGGTGATCCCCAGCCTAATCTCAATGTGCCCTGGCCTATTACTTCCCTCCCCTGAAGTCCTAAATGGCTTGTTTTTGAAAATCATTGCGTGACCATCTGCAGTGAAAGCACATTACCTGGTGTTGCTGCCTTGCTGTGGGTCTCCGGATCACTGCGCTAATGCTTCCTGCCCTTCGTCTGGGGTTCAGAGCGGAGCACTCTTTCCCAGCTCGTGTTTTGTGCATGGGTACACATGGAGATCAATTAGATCTTATTCGTGTGATGCTGTGTAGTGCAGCATGGAGTCTGCAAAGGGCAACAGACTCCTGTCTGCTTTCTGGCACGTACCCCCCGAACGCTCCTTCTCACCACACGTCTACAGACAGGCCTGACGTCAGAGGTGATGCACCCGTCATTCACTCTAACTGTTGTTTTCCCAACATCCCTTTGGCCTGTCCCAGGCCAGCTGCGGTAGGTTCTAATAGTGCTGCTCAGCCCCAGAGAGTGGTCACTTCTCTCCAGCATTTGAAGTCTGGATGTTTCTAAATTGGTGTGTGGAGATTTAACCCTGCAGCTGCCATGGAAAGGCAGTCACGTTGGTAGGTCCTCACTTGGACTTGCAAGTGTAACCCTGGGGCACAAGTGAATTCCTGGATGGACGGTTTCATGAGCAGAAGCGGACCTAACTCCGGCCTTTGTTAGCGTCCAGGTACTCTGTGTTGGTTTAAAGGAGCAGTGTGGCAAGAATGTCACTTGCATGCCTTCTGTTGTCTGGTTAGCTAAACACCTCTGTCTGTGTTCCTCTGTGGCCCTCATCACCGCAGTATGTCAGCTCAGCTGTGCAGAAACAGCCTGGAACAAACCAACCTCACTCACTGTGTCAATGCAGGAGATGTTTTTCTTAATGAAGGACCAGACGGTAGAAGGGTGTCCCCTTCCCCAAGGGCCAAGTCCATTGACTGTCTCACTCCTAATTCCTGCAGGCTTGGGAACCAAGGATCCAGAGGGGCTGACTTTGCCCCAGACAGCACCACTAGCTCTCGGCACCAGCCTGTGCACGTGATCTGAAACCTCATTCATTCTAGCATAAGATACCCTTCTGTGAGAGGCCACGGGGGGGTAAATGCAAATCCAGACCTTTTTGCACAGCCTGAACTTCTTAACCACATCAGGTCAGCCCCTGCAGATGCTACCTTGGCTGCAGCCTGACACATGCTCGCTGGCTCCTGGGGAGGAAACCTGCTTTCCTGTGGGGGAAACAACCTGAGCGTGTTTGGTCTGTTGCGGTCCTGCATGCAACAGGCACGTTCAGCTCTGCGTAAGTCCCTCGCTTAGAAGCCCCACCCCCAAGCTATCTGTTCTGGACACATCCAGATCCTTCTCTTCGGACCCTTGGCCATTGCAGCCTGGCTGGGTGCACTGGTAGCTCTGTCTCTGGAGGTACTCGTAGAAGTCTCGGCATGTATAGAGCATCCGGTTTCAGATGGTAGGGAGAAGCTGCTGGAGAAGGCAAATTGGCCAGTAGGTTCAGTAGCCCTGTGACTAGTTTGGGGAATTCAGGAAAGTGTCTAGGCTATGCAGGAGGGAGGTAGCAAACTACAACAGGAGAGTAGTGGCCAGAAGGAACAAGTAGGTGAAAGTCTCAACTCTCTGCTCCAGGTGGCCTATGAGCCCCCACATGACCCCATAAAGCGGAGTGGGGTGGCTGGATGAGGCCTGCAACTCAGATGCACAGTGTGTTGCTTTTGAAACAGGAGCCAGGAGTTGCTGATAGCTGCGTATTAGTAGCGCATTGATGTGCACTGAGGTAGTTCAGCCTATTGGACCTATGTGCTGGATCTACTTGGAGGAACCGTTTCCATGCCCCAAGGTCTCGTAGATGTTACTAGATCCTTGGTGGCTACCAAAAAGCTCCTACCGGCTTCCTAAAGTCTGAGGAGAAACCAGTTCCATTGATCTGTGTGGGATCAATTCCTGCACCCCCAAGGAGGCAGTGGGCAGGGCTTCCTATGAGTAGGTGTGTCATAGGGCATGTGCCGGGGAACCAAAATGCCACGGGGCCCTTTCCTCTCCTCCCCTGGGCTGTGATAAATAATGGTTCTCCTCTGAGCAACTTAATGGTTTTGTTTCTCCTCCAGATTTTGCGGGGAATGTTTGCAACCATGTCTCCAAGTGCCATCTCCTCTTTGCCCGCTCTGCCGCATGCCCTTTGACCCCAAAAAGGTGGAGAAGGCCTCCAATGTGGAGAAGCAGTTGTCCTCCTACAAGGCTCCCTGCAGAGGGTGCAGTAAGAAGGTAATCCATCTGAGCGGGTCCAGTCGTGACTGTCCCATAGCTGGTATTGTGGGGGCAGGACAGGTATGGGTGACACCTCGGGTGGCCCATTGTACTAGTCAAGGTTTTGTCCATGCCCAGATGAGTGTTGGTTTATGTCTGAGCGCAGTATCTGTTTCAGGGGTTACTTCCTGCATCCCCAAAGATTGAGGATGGGAGGCAAGTGGGATGCTCCACTACGAGGCATGTGGCTTGGAACCTTGGGGCAGCACAACAAACGGGGTGCCCCACCGCTATCAGCAAACCTGACTTTTGCTCCCGTCGGGGAGGCGATCAAATAGCAGGAAGGGCGGCCTTGTACTCAAAACTAGAGTGGGGGTCAGGAGAGTTGCGTTCTGTTCCTAGCTCTGTTAGAGTCACGGTGTCTCCTGGAGTCAGTCCCTTACCCTCGCTCTGCCTCGGTTTCCCAGCTAGACGCTGAGGATAATGCTTCCTACATCAGAGGTGCTGAGGCTTAAATCGGGAATGTTTAGGAAGTATTAGCGATGCTCTCTTGCAGGCCAAGTCAGCATTTTATTAAGTGGATGCATCTTTTAAAAAGGGAACCCGGGCCCTTATTTTCTCCCTCTGTTGCTTAACCCTTTCTAGAAGACAAATGTCGTCAGGTTTCTACTAAAATCCATCCTTTCCCTGTAACGATCATCTCCCCCACTCCTGTATTTGGAATCAGCACAGCTCCATGCCTAGTTCTTGTTAGGGAGTTTACTGCTGGCTGAGGTGTGGTGCAGACCTGACGTGGGAGCGTTAATTCCTCAGCACCGGTGCATATCATAGTGGTAAGGTTGCGCTGCTGTAGTTAAGGTTGTGTCAAGACTTCTGTTTAAAGGTCGAACTTCCTAAAATGAACATGCTCAGTTGGATTCCTTTGAAACGTGCTGTGCCTCGGGAGAGTGCAGGGTGTGGCTAATGACCCCAATGTTTCCTTTTTGTCCTTTAATGGTGTTCGATCAGTGGTTCTCAAACTTTTGTACTGGTGACCCCTTTCACATAGCAAGCCTCTGAGTACCACCCCCTGATAAATTAAAAACACTTTTTAATATATTTAACACCATTATAAATGCTGGAGGCAAAGCGGGATTTGGGGTGGAGGCTGACAGCTTGCGACCCCCTGAGGGATCCCGACCCCCAGTTTGAGAACCCCTGTGTTAGATGGAATCCTGTGGGTGAGAGTGAATGGGTTGTAGAAGTCAGTGAAGAGCTTGTACATTTCCGTAACACTGGGTTGGCAGAGTAATGGGGCCAGTGTGTGTATTGGGCCACTGCTGGAAGATGGCAGAGTTAAGATTGCATGGGCTCCTTAACTGTGGATTTCCTGCTTTTCTAAATTTGAGTTTTGCTCAACTCCGTGTTCTGCAAGGGGACATACCTCCAAGCAACCGTAACTCTGTGTTACCATAGTGTTTTGCCACTGAATTTAACATAGATGTTTAGACTCCAGAGAACACTCCTCACAAAGCAGATCAAATTCTGGAACCCAAACTACTTGCTACCATGCTTGGTAAAGCTCCAGCTAGTGGTTCCACCCGGGGGATCTCCTGGTTAGCTGGCTGAGTTTCACACGCGGAGCTGTTCAACTTGAGACCTTAGGTACATGGCCCTGGTGAAATCCTGCGCTGTTGGTGCTTATGAACCCAGAGGGCCCCTGCAGGAAGGGCTGTGAGATATCTGAGCTATACTGGCTTTGCTGCCTGCTGTGAGGTGGTGCTGTGCTCAGGTGAAACATCTCTTTGTCCTAACGCCCTTTGGCAGTAGACTAGTGCCATTATTAAAACAGCGGAGCCTTCCAGAGAGACTTGGGACAAACCCCGAGTGGTGCAGCTGGTGTTTCATCTCTAGTTTATGAGCAGCCTTACAGAGTGGGATGTTCTTCTCTTTAGAGCTGGTGAAAGAAGCTGGATTGACAGCCCGGGAGAACACGGCAGAGAGTAGGTCTAACTAGGGCATTGTCCTGCCATCATGCCTCAGCCCTGCCGTGAAGGGGCCACCTGGGGGGTAATCCAGACCTGGGTGCCTCTGAGACTGGCAGTAAAGTTGTTCAGTTGTGGTGGCTTTGTGATGTGGACATCTGTCACCTCGGGGACTGAGACCCTTTCCCTCTGCTGCTCCAACGCCTCACTTGCTGTCAAGTGAATAACTCCAGAACTCCCTGTGTACCTTTGAGCCTGGCATTTCTGTTCCTTGTTGAGAACTTGACTGTAAGGTTTGGGTTGCCTTGAAGGGCAAGAGCTCTGCCATGACTTGCTTTGGTCTTATGGAAAGGAAATGGGCTTTCTTAGCAGTCTCTGGGATCAGCTAGACTAGCCCACCCCATTCCCCCGAAATCCTGCATCTCCTCACTGGAGCTGGTTGGCTGATTGTTTTAGTTGGCTATAACGAGACACGCTTTGGCCCAGCAATTCCACATTGGTGCAGATTGATGTGCAATAATCTTAGTGGTCTCCTGTATTCTGGCGCCTGTCAGAAAGCGTTTGGGGAGGCTGCTCTCTCGAACGTACTGGTTTGCTTGAGAGTGGGGCATCTGCCTTGTTTTCTTCTTTCTGGAGAAATGCATCCCTTGCTCCTTGGAGTTCTCAAAGATTGTCCTGGCTGTCCAATGATCTATTTCTTTTTTCTCCCTCTATTTGTCTTTCTAGGTGACCCTAGCGAAGATGAGATCCCACGTTTCATCCTGCGCTAAGGTTCAAGAGCAGATGGCCAACTGCCCAAAGTTCGTTCCAGTGGTCCCAACTTCCCAGCCCATTCCCAGGTATTAAAATACCAAATTCAACCACTTCACAGGGGAATCCTCCCATCTCGTTTTCTGTAACAAACTGCTATTTAAACAGTACACAAGATGAACCAGAAATTGTCAGGTCAAATCTGGCCTTGAATTGTAGAGGGATTTCTAAATAGGCTTTTCCAAAACCTGACCCAACACAAATGTCTACATGATTTAAAAAAAAAAATCCAATGGAAAAGCTTTTTCTTAAACAAATAAGACTCCCCTGCACCATTTGCAGCTCTAACATTGTGCAGCATTGCGCTAGTGCCGGAGAACCTGGGGGAATAGACTAGAAACTGCCTGAAAACAAAAGGGAAACTGACTAATCTGTTATTTTGCCAGCTGGGAGAGATGCAGAAAGTAAACTGTGTGGCTGGTAAAATAGGTAAGGTAGACTTCAAAAACTCTTTGAACTTGATTCTGCTCTCACTGACTGTGATGCAAATATAGAGTAATTCCACTGAAGCCACTGGAGGTGCATCAGCATGTGATCAAAATCTTTGCCTTCAGTCTAATGTGGTGGTTGGTGCTCGTGGTGAGGGAGTGACTCATGGTGTATCAGATCCTTTGGAGTCCGCTGGGGTTGGCTTGTCTCTGTGAAGCCCGTTCAGTTTTCACCTGTCCTCTTCCCTGTGGGTCTCTGTTGTGTTGAATTCTTGACCGCTGTTTCTTTTTAGCAATATTCCAAACCGTTCCACTTTTGTCTGCCCTTACTGTGGAGCCCGGAACCTGGACCAGCAGGAGCTGGTCAAGCACTGCATGGAGAACCACCGCAATGACCCCAACAAAGTGGTGAGCTTTCCTCGGGCAGACTGGTGAGAGTTTGGCACCGCGGCCTTGATTTCCGTGTCCGGCTCTTTGCTCGTGAACTTCTGACTGGGCAGAGAATGGGAGCGGGGTAACCTCCAGTGAATTGGAAGTCTCTGCGTATTTTAATCAATCCCCTGTTCAAAGTCAACAGGCGCACACATCTGCTTCTGGGCATAAAGTACTATCTGCATTTCTAGCTCATTTAATCTTTGTTAAATCTCTTTGACAGGCAGACACGGAGCTGGATCTATTAGCTTTGCTCGAGGTGCATTGCAGAGCAAGAACTGGGTTAAGCCTAGATTTCAGTGCTGTCTCCCTAACTCTAATGGTTTTGCTTTGCCACTCACTTTGCACTACAATAGGCTGTGACTTTTAAGGGCCTCTTGTGCTTCTGAGACGGGAGGTTCTTCTGTGTCCCTAAATGCAGCGTGCCTTTAAGCTCACAGAGGGATCACAGCTTTTTGGCAGGGAACCCTCTGCACTTGAGTGATCATATTTCCTGTGTCCCATTCTGGTCCTGAGACTATTGCGCTCAACACTCATCAGTGCTAAAAGGGACCATCTCCAGATTGCAAACACCTCTTTAGTCCACTAGAGCATCCCCAAGGGTTCTCAGCACTCTGTCACTTTCACGCACCATTCCCACAGTTGCATGTGCCTGTTAGGGGGCTTATTCCTTCACCGTCTCACTTCCCTGGTCCTTCTCGCATGAACAGAGAGCAACAATACCCAAAGTCTGAAGGTGCAAACAATTCGATGTTTATTGGGGTGAACTTCCAGCAAGCATGATTCCAGTTTCCTTCCTTAGTGTCCCCCTTCCCAGCTCTGACACCACAGAGCCTTGCCTGTGTTCCTGTTCCCATCCCCCCCTTAGCAAAACATGATCCCAATTCCCCCACATCCAGTCCCTATTCCCATTCCCCCCTTGCTTCCTGATTGACTGCAGACTGTATAGTAAAACTTGAGTTCTGATTAGCTATACCTTAACCAATCATTTTACTGAAATTTTACTAACCAATTCTAACATACTGTAACATGGTTATTTAACCAATTATATCCCACCTCCTTAATTGGTTTACACCCAACAAAATTAATTATACAGCAGGCAGAAACAATCACAGAACCAGACAGAAATTATACAGACAAACAATAGGGAAGTGGAGACTACAGTGATAGAACAATACAGAAATGAGGATTTCACATCCCAGCTATTGATAAGTGAGTTCTTGCCAGACAGGATGCTATTAAACTAAGTTTCCTTTTACATCTTCTAGGCTCTTCCCTTTCCCTGGAGGTGATGGGAATATCAGGACAGGATTGTATTCCTAACAGCCCAATAGCACCTTATTTCAATGTGACTAGTTTGGAATGTGAGGATGTGACCGTACACTTCCCAGTTTATGGCTGGCCTCTGCTGCTTAGCCGAAGGCCTTAGCCTAAGAACCAGGCCTCAGACTGTCACAGTAAGAGAAGACCCTTACACAGACAGACAGTGATTTTGATTCTTCTTTTATACTCTATAACTAGCTAAGTGATAAGAATACACCTAAATTCTTAAAGACAGGCCTGAATATCTATATCCTAACAGTGCCCCTGTGGGAAATGTGTGAGCATGCATAATGTCTAGGCAGTCTCGAAAATCTTGAGGCTTCCAGCGCTGACCGGCGTGCCTAGCTCTCCAGCTTGTGTAGATGTACAGCCTCTCTTGAAGAGGGTGTTTGCAGAAATTGCCTCTGACTGATAGAAATTAAAAAGGAAATCTACTGTTTGGGCTGTGGGTGGCAGGCAGGGTTCTAAGAACTACACCACATTGTTGGTCTTGTGACTTTCTTTTCCTCCCCTGTATGTTCTAGGTGTGCCCAGTCTGTTCAGCGATGCCCTGGGGGGACCCCAGCTACAAGAGCGCCAACTTCCTGCAGCATCTCCTACACAGGCACAAGTTCTCCTATGACACCTTTGTGGTGGGTACTGCCACAAATCAAAGTTCAAGTCGCTTAGGGCCCTGGCTGTTCCCACTGACTACGTTCCAGCCCTTAATTAGCTGGCGTTGGCTTCACATGTGGCTGGCCTGTATGAGAACGCCACTTTTGTGTGCAATTTTTGCACAGTTTTCATGCTGAGCTATCAGTTACTGGCATCTTTTAGTGGGGGAACGGACGGGGAAAGGTTTTCTTCTGTATCGCCGTGTCTGTCCCAACCAGCTAAGTGGCCTTGAAATAACTTCTGCCTTTTAGATAGAATCACATCTATACTGAGACAAAACAGCATGTTGGAATGGTGAAGCAAGACTCTGCAATAGGCTGTGGCAAGAAACTGTGTTGAATTGTAGGAAGTTCCCCCAACAGGACACATGCGCACAGGAGGGTTGGGGGAGGGATCCTGTCTGAAGGCTGAGCTTTGTTCTTGTGGCCTGCACTTGTGGGAGTCGGCTGTATGTTGCTTTATTATTATATTATTGCCGTAGTGCCTTGAGGCCCTAGGGAGGGGTCTGGGGCCCCGGAGCTATGCATGCACTGAAACAGATTCCTGCCCCTAGGAGCTTCGTCTGAGCGATGAACTTCGCCAGGTTGTGATCAGTGAGGCCAGGCAGTGGAGTTGGGAAAGGAAGAGTATTTAAGTTTTTTATCAGCTCATGTGTCCCTTTTAAACACACTGGAAAACGAGCAAGAGAAGTGTCACTGAAAACCGCTAGGACTACAAAGTTCCAGCCAAATGTGTTGTCAAGTTCATACCAGCCTCTACGTGCAGGCTGAATCTCACCTGAGCTTGATGCATTTTTAACGAACAAGGTTTTTGAGAGAGGTAAAGCCACTAATTCCAGGAGCTGGGTTGCATTTGGCAGGCTCCACACTGCCTTTTGGCACACAGCGCGAGCTCCCTTCGCAGTCTGCACTGGGGACTTGAGAGAAGTGAGCTGGTGGTAATTCTGTGTGAGTAGTCACTGTTCCAGCCAGCCTCAGGAAGATCTCCATCTGTGAGAAGCTGGCCAGGCTGTACTGGCATCTCACCAGAAGCAAAGGTCCAAGATGCAAATACCCGTGTTGTACAAACAGCTGTGGGGCATGTGCCCAAAAGGAGCGTTGGATAACGTTGGGCTGGCTGAGTCCAGCCCCTCGCTCTGAGACGTGCTCTCGCACGGCGGCGTTGGAAGCTGAGCTCCAGAGACCATTCAAAAATACGGAACGTGCCCAGTGTGCCATGTCCTTCTCTGGTGCGGTGTGCAAATGAGAACTCTGGCCGGTCTCCCTCGTGGTTAATCTTTGTGTGGGTGTGGGGTGGTACTCGCCCCTCAAAGGCTGCAGCCAGGGCAGTTCTGCTCCAGGGACCTTGTAGATAAACTCCTGTTTGTATCTGCCATTATCGTTTGGTAGATTAGATTCCAGAGTGACTGTTAACCTCAGAGGACAGATACTAAGCTTTGAAATATTTGCACGTCTCATCTTTCAAAGGATCCTCATGGTCATGTAGCTTGTGCCCAAATGTGGGTATTGAAAAAAAAAAAATTGGTGTTGATAGAAACCTTTTTTGACTTTGTAAATGAAACCTTTTCAATTGGCTGCATCTTCCTGCTGTGTGTAGGCAAACCAGAGAGTGAAACTGAGGCTAGAACTGACCAGTTTAACTTCACTGTCCTTTTAACATGCAAGAAATAAGCTTAGAAAGGTAAATTAATGTCCTGTTCTTCCCAGCCTGGCCTGTCTGAGGTAATTGCACAGGTGAGGTTTCTTGTAATCATGTGGCTGTTTTGACAGTGTCCATGATCCGAAAGGAAGGTCAATGTGAAGATTCTTTCCGCTTGGCATTCTGGCCCTTTCTTGGGAATGTCACAGGAGGTACGAGCACCCGGGCAGACAGCTCATTAATGCAGGGAGAGACGCACTTACTCCTCGTCAGCCCCTCTGACCTGTTCACTCTTCTTGTTCCCAGGACTATAATATCGATGAAGAAGCAGCGTTGCAGGCTGCGTTGGCGCTCTCCCTCTCGGAGAACTGAAGGCGACTGCTGAGCAGCGGCGTGGATCCTTTGCACAGGTCGCCTTTCCGCTAGGAGAGGTGTGACACTTGTTAATCCCTCTGCATTCCCTAGAGATTAGGCAGCCCATCTCTGGTTAAATCGCACCTTGTTTAATAAGGTGGAATCTTTCGTTGCACAATGAAATGGTGAGCGAGCATGATCTGGTGAGAGTGACACCTGCTGGATGGGAAGAGGCAAAGGCGACCTTACCAAATGTTTGTTTTTTCCAATTGGGCATTTCATCTCCATATACGGAGTATATATCTCTCTCTATTTATTATTAGATGCTTTTTGGCACCGTTGCTCCTCTTATTTGTTGCAGTTAATGGGTACGTAAAACAACGATGCATTTTATGTAAAATGCCCTAGCGTTCAATTCTTATCATCCAGGGGTGGTGGTTGTTTTTTTAAAGCGTTGAGCGTTTTTGAACCTCGTAAGAGTATTTATTGAGATGTTGGCCCTCCACCCTCCCGAGGGCATGAGCGGTCTGTTGCTCAGCTCTGTTGCCGCTGCTCACGGAAGGCCAGAGGCAACGAAGCGCATTGGGCTAAATCTGGGAGCGAATCGGCTGCGCTCAGATACCGTGATGACAGGTCTATTAAAAAGAGCTAGGTAGAAATGGGAAGGAATCCTGAACTGTCCTGCCACTGGCATTCTTTCACCTTGCTCATTTTGTACTGGCTTTTGTGATACTAGAGTTCTTGCATTTTTTCTACATTAATCGGTGTGAGACCTTTTCACGTTTTATAGAGCAAAAAAAAGCAGTTACTCTTCATATTGCAATATTTGTGTTTGACTAGGAACAATAGTATTTTTATGGAACCTTATTAAGAAAAAAATTATATTTTTTAAACACATGCTGTGGATTCAAGAACTGGTGGGGTGGGGAACTGCTGGAACCTGGAATTGAGAGGGGGCTCTTTTCCATTCGCGCCTGAGCAACAGAAAGGTTGCATTGTTCCGTATTTATTTTGGGGGGTCAATTACTTTTTTTTTTTTGCAAATAAAGATGCTGATGTGCAGCCATGCTGGATCAGACATGTGACCCAAGCATGGGAGGGCGGTACTCGGAGTTACTCACCAGGCATTAACGGGGGTGTTGGTCAATGGATCAAGTCCACTTCTGAAAGAAAATAAAACCTGTGAATAAGCTATAAGCTGTGTGTGTCTCCAAGATGCAAAGCCCTGTGAGTTGTACAGCAGAGGGGGTGTTCGCTGGGGCAACAGCCCCATTAGCATTACCAAGGAGCGGGCCAGTTAGCGTCTCGACTCCAGGCTGTTCATTCGCTTCTGTCGGCATGGACGGGCTGTTTGGCTGGGATTGTGAGGGGGCTGATCTGGTCCTAGCTTGGCAGACCTCAGTTCAGCAGTGGTCTGGTGTTTAGAAGTACATGCAGTACAGCATGACAAGCAGGCTGCCTTCCACTATTAGTACTAACTTTAGGTCTCTTAAAGCTTTTGATTGATCCATGAGTGCTAATGTGTGTGAATATGGCGCCTATAGTGTGCAAATCCAGCCTCGGGCTGTGGCATGTAAACTGGAGTTAGGGACTCAGATTCTAGTCCCCTGTGGAGAAGGAAACCGATGCTCCTCAGCAGCCGTCCAGAGATTGGTTGGGTCTCTGTGATCCTGGGGCAAAGATTCGGGAGCTCACCGGGAGTGACACCAGTAGGATAATTTATAATAAACGTCACGCCCCAGATTTTTTTTTCTGTTACAACTGTAATTTTACAGCATTAAATCTTATAAGGACATGACTGCAAAACTCTCCATTGGTGTGGAGTTACACCCAGCATCTGGTGCTGGCCCCGTCTGAGACAGGGACACAACTCAACGGGCCCTTTGTCTGAGAGCGTGGCAGGTCCTGAAATCAGATAGAGATCTGTTTGTAACCAACCATTACATACTGTGGGGTGGCTGAAACTTTGGCCTAGCTGCATGCATTCTTCCTTGGGGCCAGGAGGCTGTCTGGGCATGCTCAGTTCCATGCTCTTGCTGCAGTGTAGAATCAGACCAGCTTAGTCTTTCTGCACTGTGAAGATCACTTCCTCGTTTGCTCCTCAGACGCTGCAGGCGCCTCTCTGGGGATAGGGCAGATCTGACCAAAGGTTTGGGCTGAGCCTGTTTTTAAGGGAGTTGAAATTCATTTTGGAATAGTATGGCTAGCAAAGAATGCTGGGAAACAGAATGACTGGAGCAGGGTGCTCTCTCCATGGCAGGGAGACGTGTGTATTCAGTTAACTTGTCCAGCCAGCGCGGTTAGGAAGGAACTGCTGGGAGTTTTGACAGTGCATTTCCCTGTCTAGTTTCTGCCCAGGTCTGTGACTTAAATGTCATTGGTGACATTGCATTGACTGTCGTTCAGTGGGTCTATGTAATACTGGTTTAAACCACCTCCTTGTACTGACTTGAGCCCTGATGTTCCCTACCTTAGATGCCAAGCCTCAGACTGATGCTGCACACAGCCCCTTTCTTCCCAGCCAAGGAGAACTGGCCGCTTGTCAGTGGGCCAGTTCCCATCCTAACTGACCTCTGGGATCCCCATTGCTGGATCCTCCTTTCTGTAGGGACTGGACATCCTACTCCACAGCACAAAACAAAGTTCCTGGCTGGTATCCCCCAGCCCCTCTGTTGATGAGCTCTGGGGAAGAGCCCTGTGGGAGGCAGGGCAAAATCCATCTAGGACCATTTCATTTCCCGTCTGCTAAGAGACATCCTGTAGCCTCCCTAGCTATAAAGCCAAAACGGGTAAATCACATACGGTCCTGCTTAGCAAGCTGGAACCCAGCACCCGCCTTTTCTAGGGAGCTGGGAGCTTCTCTCCTCCAGTGCCCTGGGAGGGGCAGTCCTGGTTAGGAACACAACCCAGCAATAGATACCTTGTCCACTCGCAACCTGTTGTGAAATGTGAAGGGGCAGGATTCATCAGGTGCTGCGATTCGCTCATCCCATGGGTGTTTGGGTGATGCTGCACTTTCACATTCAGGGTGTTTCAAGCCAGAAGAGGCCACTAGAACCTCTAGTCTGACCTATGTAACGCAGGCCATTAAACTTGTCCAAGCATGAGGGGTTGGGTGGCTGGTGGCCATGTGTTGGCCTCTTGGAAGGGGACCTTTCCTCCATCTATCTCGCTGTTCTTGCTTTAGCCGTTTTGCTTTCTGGCTCTGTGCCTGGTTCCTGTCCTTTCCCATCACCGTTCAAATCGGTCTCATCACTGGATTGCTTTTTTGTTCTCTATTTGCTCTTTTATCCTGTGACCTTTGTTATTTGCCACCTGACCTATCTCGAGTCCTTCCATCTGCAGCAGTGCAGGAAGCTATCCTATAACCCCACCCAAGGGAAGGAGCATTGCAGCTTGCTGACCTTCCAGCTCTTGGTCTCCCAATATGGACACATTCTGCTACTAAAGTCCCTGGTTTATGGTGGTCTAATCTCTAGCACACTGGCTGAAGGCCACCTGGCGCTGTGGTACCTTGTGGAGGGATCCCCTCGTTTTCTTAGGTGGGATCTCCATCTCCAAACCCTTATTTATCACCCTTTGCTCTAGCACACACGGTTAAACCTTTCTCCAGAAGAGCTGAGTGGCTCTGCTTGCCGCTGGTTTTGCCTGCTGACTCCTTTTTCCTTCATTGCAAAGCAGCTGCCACCTCCCAGCATGCTAGAACGCCACCTACTTTGCACCTCACTTTGATAGTCTGGGACCAATTGGCAGGCACCTAGCACTGGTGCATTCCCTCTTAGGGATGGGGTGCTGTGTTGGGTGAAAGTACCACTTCGCACTGACGCCTGTGGACTCTCAGGGGGTGCATGGCAGCTAGCCAATCTCCTGGCGTTTGGGAGCTGGCTTGTGCAGACCTTCCTTTCAGCATTGCTCTGGCTGCATGGTACTCACCATCTGGCACCGCACCGTCGCTGCGAGCAGGTCCCCGGCCATGCCAAATTGTCTTGGGGGTGATATTTTAAACATCTCAGTAGCCGCTTCGCTCCAAGCTTGAAGCTTAGTTTGTAAGTGGGTTACCCATCAACGTAACTGAATGCAATTCCCTACTGCAAACCCAGGGACTGATGGAGACTGCCCCCAAATCACTGCCTTTGCATGTAAGATGAGATTGGACAGGGAAACTCCACAGTACGGTGCTGTTAACCTTGCTTGTTTTGCTTCGCTTAGTTGGGATGGGTTGGGGAAGGAGGTTTTGTCTGTCTAGCCTTAAAACCCAGCCATCTGCCAGCAGGCTGTTTTGCCCTGGGTTTGAATCTGTACTGCTGTGGGTGGAACGTAAAGAGGGCAGTGGAAATATAATCCAGAGGGCTTTCCTTCTCAAATGAGACGTCACAGACGTCAGATCTCATCTGTTCCCATTTCTCTTTCAGCAGCATTAAGCTGCAGAGCTTACATTCCTTTAAAGTATGTAAGCTTTAATAAACCTACCTAACTTTTCTACTCTTTTAATGTACTATATCGAATGGAGTCCAGTTTTCCACTGGCTTTCAAGGCATGGGGAGTGGGGAGGGTGTCTCTGAGTCTTGTCTTAATGTAAATTGTGTCTAACAGAAAATGAGTTTTGGCAGGAGGAATATTTTACTTATGGCTTGAGGGTGGGTGTGCTTGATCTCTGTTCAAAGTGGTGGCGCAGCACTGTGAAACGCAGACCTCGCGCTCGGAACAGGAACGGCAATGAGTTAGCCAGTGTGATGAGGAAGAATCAGAACCCAGAAACCTTGTTAACTTTCTCTAGCCCTGTCTCACCCCAACCTGCCCGCTGACAAATTGCCTTAACTTCTGTTCCTAGCATGGAGTTTGTTCCTGTCTTTGTATTGTTTGCTGTCTTGTTATAACAAGCAGAATCCTCTAGGGGGAGCAACAATTACACGCTTGCTAGGGGAAGCCTGTCTAGTGTACATCTTAAGTGCTGCATTTTGTCATTGCACTTGAGATGCCGTTGGAAAAAGCCGAAGCCGTGCGCCTCTTACAATGAAATGTGTAAATGTCTCTGGAATGTGTGCTGTCATGCAAGAAATACTCATGTGCTAATGTAGAAGTCTTGTTTGCCATAGGTTCAATTGCACTTTTGAGGCAGCAGGGATTAGTGGTTAGAGCAGGGACCTGCACGCCAAGACACTCGAGTCTGTCTCTACTACTCCACTCACTAGCTGGGTGACCTGGGGCAAGTCGCTTAATCTTTGTGCCTCAGTTTCCCTACCTGAGCAATACCCACTTTAGGGATTATTTGGGGGGGATGCCCACCTCTGTAAAGTGCTAGGGGATCCTCGTATGAAAGGTGCTATAGAAATGGGAAATGTCACCTTTCAAAATCAGCTGAGTGTCAGCAAGCACAGTTCATTTTTCAGCTGTATAATCGTTCAGATCTCTTTACCTAAGCAATGTGGTGATGTTTGTAAATCATTCACTCTGTGCTCAAAATAGCTGTTCGTTTCCAGCTGGCTAATCTGGACTTGCTAAACGAGGGAACTGTGCTGGAGCAAGGCCGTCTTTCAATGCGTGCTGGTGTGCAGAATACTGTGTCGATATTTCCAGGTAAAATACACAGCGATGCTATTGAGTACATGAATGTCAGTGGCATACGGCTCTCAGACATGCAGCGCACCGCACTGCAGCCGGCAATAGAAAAGGGTTTTTTCATATGGGATAGCTTCATGGATGACTTTGGGTTTATGAGGCACCTTTCATACTACAGGTGTCCTAAAGCTCTTCCCACTGAAGTGAGTGAAACATTGGCAGGTGCTGCAGCTGGTCTGCCCTCAGCAGTTGCCCAAATGTTGAGGGAGAATGCTGGCCAGGATTTTGGAGTTGTGGAAAAACTCTTCAAAGCAGATGGGCCCTTGATGGAATGTCTCAGCCAAAGGTTGCTAACCGGGCACATCAAGTCACCGTGCGTTGTTCGGCTGAAATAGCAGCTGCCGCTTGGGAGAATCTCCAGGGTGGGTGACTGAGGAACTCCCTGTGCAAGCACAGCGTGTCTCAGCTAGTACTCGGTGGATCAGTACAACGCTCAGGAGCCCAGCCCTTAAAAGGCCTATGTTTAAGTTCACTCATTCCCATTCTGGGTCCATCTTAACCTTTAAACACTGATCCGTACCGAGTCTGTTTGTTGTGAGTGTCTTCGCTTCTCACCCAAAATCCAGGCAGGGGAGGGAGTGGGTTGGCGTTCTTCAACCACACTGAGACCTAGGAGGTGGCTGCCTTCTAGTCCAGAAGCCATCCTCTCCCAGGATTGCTTCGTGTCGGACTGGCGCTTGAGAGAACTTTCAGCAGTGCCATTGACTTTTGATGGGACTCAGGCTCTCTTGAAAACTTTGTTCCACATTCCTAGTTTGAAGAGTGCAATTTCGGGGCTTAACCAAGGTACTTCCCTGCACCCTGTTATCCGAGTTTTAGGCTCACACTCTAGTAATACAGGGTTTTTTTCCGCCTCAGTCTAAATAGTAACAGAAAATATTGCAAAGCATGTTTGCTCCTGAGTGTATAGCTGTCCCTCCCCCACCCCCTCACCCCGAGGAACCTGCAGTCATCCCTACAACACATGAGCAAAGGGCAAACACTTAGCAGAGACCAGCTGCTCGGAGGAGTTTCCTGAGTTGGGAGTTAGCCATGTGGGGCCGCCTGGGAGACATGAACAAAACCATATCCTCAGTGAGCCAGGGGGCCTTTCTTCCTAGCTGGTCGCTGCTCTTAACCCTGGGGACCGCTAACTGGATTTCCTGAAGATGATGGTACCTCCTTGCAATATATGCTCTCTCCAGGAAGAAAGGAGTTGATCTACAACCTGGGAAGGGTCTGGGTTTCCTGTTTATGCCAGTGCAGTATCCGGATCACTGCCCCTGGCCTGTACTGTTGGGTCCCATGTATAAAGAGCTCGTGCTGCTTTGTGGGCAAGTCTGTGCCACTTCTTAGCTCCTTCCAAAGGGGACTTTGCCCGGAAGAGGGGTGGGGGGGGGCATTGTTGTATAAATAATGAATGGTAGCATTTATTGGCCCAAGCTTTGCCATGGGGAAGGGGAAGGTGCAACAGATGCTAGAGAGGCAGCATGGCTGTGTGGATAGACTTCTGGGGCTGGGAGTTGAGGCCTGAGTTCCATCCCCGGCTCTGCCACAGCCATCCTGTATGATCTTCAACAAGCCACTTCTCCGTGCCTCAGTTTCCCCAGCTCTATAGCGGGGGCAATGATACCTGCTTTTGTAAAGCACTTTAAGGCCTATGGATGAAAAGCCCCACATATGTGCTAAGTGGATATTTACTATGCTCCCTTTGCATCAGTTATGTGTAATAACATAAATGAAAGGGGTTTACACTCAGAATTCCACGTGTCGCAGGAAATCACAAGACTGCTTCCCCTTGAACTCCTGATTCTACTGGAGGTGTGGGACTGTCGGGCCCACGGTTCTGGGTGTAGGCAGAGGAGTCCCCCATGTTGAGTGTTCTCTGTCGGGTTTGGCATTGGTGACGGTCATGCTGTTCAATGTGGTGTTGTGACTATTTTGCATATGAATAGAACTTTTAACGAGACATACTGTTTTTTGAAGAAAAATCAATGATGTATTTGTAGCAAACCATTTTTTCTCAATAAATGCAGTTTCATCCATTGGTGTCGGGCTGAAATCTCTTGGGAGCTTGGGACAAATTGGGGTAACAGTGTCAGCTCAAGGGAACAGATCCCCCCCCCCCCCTAGACCTTTAGTGGGTCTGTTTCCCCCCCCCCACTCCTCATCCTCCGACTTACGTGTTTGAATCTCTTATTAATGCAGTTATGTGCATGCCATGGAGATGAGCACCGTCCAGTCTAAATCTCAATGTATGTGTAAACGCTTCGCTCTGACACCTTGCTGCTAACTACAGTTCGGTCCTCTTCAGGATATTCTTGGCTCTTCCTTTCTGCCCAGGGATGGGACTCCAGACTGGCGATTAGCGGCTAGGAGGGGGGAGTAGAGAGCTGAATGAATTTTAGTAGCATATGAACTTGTCTTTTTTTTTTTTATGGCCATTCCAGACGCTTTGAGCCTGCCCGTTGCATTGGACAAGCGTGGCTGATCCCCTCCAAGACACAGCTACAGGTGTCTAACCTGTCTCTGCTCTGAAGCACCATGAGCCTGGAGCAGAAGCAGGTATACCGAGGCAAAGCCCACCGAGATAGGGCAACAAGTGCTGAATGGAATCAGCTGTCTTTGTTTGGAAAGGGAGACGCTGGGCTGATCTTTATGACCTCGTCCACTGACTCATTAACTACTGCTGAGCACTGTGGTGCCTGTCAAGTATCTGGCAGACAAGGTTTCATCATCCTCAATCTTGTATTTCCAGTGCCCTCTGCTAGATAGGCCGCTGTATCAAGTCTCCAACAATGCACTGGCTGCTGCTTATCAGGCTGACACAGAGCAGTTAAAACCTTATCTCTGTCTCACCTCTGTCAACAGTGGAGTTAAGTGTGGATTTAAAACAAAAACCCAAAGAAGGGTGATGGTAACTACTGTCTTCAGAGCCTGCCTTTGGCTCCTCAAGTGGCCTAATTTGGCTGCACTGTTCATAACTGTTTTGCATCCCTAGGTGAATTCCCCCATGCCTCATGCTTGCACAAGAATTGCTGAGCTGTAGGAAAAGTCCAGTGACAAAATTCTGTACAGGGAATGCAGTTCCAGCGAGCTCGGACAGCTTCTCCTGCAACACACTGAGCAGTTGGCCGTCAGGGCAAAAAGTGCCCCCTACGCCTAGCATCCTGAAATCTTGCACAAAGCGATGCACTTTCTGAGCCGACTGCTCCCATCTGCTCTCAGCAATCCATTGCTGAAAGCAGAGGGGATGCTTTTTTACAGGTTAATGACACGGCTTCGCTCTCGAGAGCAGGAGCCTAATGCACGGCGTAGGTTTATGGAGCTCTGTAACCCTCTGCCAAAGCTCTAGGACGTCTATTACTCTGTGATTAGCGTCTCCGTGCTGTTGTGAATGGATAGTGTAAGCAAGGGGGTGGCCGTGCCTTGGAAGTTTGGGACGGGGTGGGAGGCTCCTGGCTTTGGGAATCCTGGGTATCTCCAAGGCCCTAGAAATTGGGATGGGGATTTTTTCCCCTCCCATAGCCATGCCTGGGTTGAACATTCCATAGTGCTCTAGCTGTG